GGCTATTGTGGTATTCTAAGCCAGAGCTGGTGGTAACAGTAGAAGTGGGGAGTTATAGCTGGACCTCAGATGCATTCTGAAATTGCAATGAAATGAAATTAGTTGTAAATAAGAGAGAGCTACAAGAGCTCGTAGCCTAAGGAGGAATGGTAATACCATTTACTGAAAATCCAGAGGGAAGACGAGGAAGAACGTATCGTGGAGGAAATCCAGTTCTTGCAAACATAAGGATTTAACGTGCTTATTAGGTCTTTGGGGGAGATGCTGTGGGCAGTTGTTTATGAGTGGAGCTCCAAGAAGAGGGTCACATTGAATAAATAATTTGGAAGGTAACAATTACTCAATGAGTGCTAAAGGTAAGAACCCTCAGTGTAGTAATCTAAGGACAGAACGTAGACAGAAGATAGAATACAAAGATCTGAGCATCGAGCTGTAGAACACGTCAGTGTTGAAATGTCAGGCATAAGGAGGATCCAACAATGGAGACTGGAAAGAGCAAACAGCAGAGTAGAAGAAAGTGACTCTGGATGAAGAAGGTGATCATCAGTGTTGAAGTTGCTGATGAACGTGAAGCTTGACCATTGGCTATTAGATTCAGCCATGTGACATCACCGGTGATTTGGAAAATAATATTGGTATATGAAAGAAGAGCTCATGGATCTGAGTTTAAGAAATCATAGTGCTGAATAGGAAATGACACAATGTAAGAATTCTCCATTGAGTTTTCTCTGCAGAAGAATGGAAACAGATGGGTGTCAAGAACCCAACTATTGATGTACTTCATTTTTTCAGCTCTTATTTTTTTTTCTGTCTATCTATGACCGTGATACAAGTCACTTCTGAATTTTACTTTTTCTGTGATTCTGTATCATGAGGTTTCTGTATGACCAATCTTCATATGTGTTCTTCTTGATATAACAACATTCTGTTGTGTTGTACTTATTATGACAATTTTCTCCCATTGAGGAGCTTTAGATTAACCTAATCAGGTGTACACTTACCTTTTTCTTTCATTAGAACGGTTTCTTCAGGAACTTATTCCCAAAATAAGCATACTAATTTAAGTATGCTTAAATTTTTTACTCCATCTTTTCTTTAGATATCTATATATGTTTCTCTCTTTCCCTAGTACCTCTGGGCTTTCCACAGTGAACTCTAGGTCTATAGATGTATGCTTATTATAGCTTTGTGTCTTAAAATTTCTTAAAATTTATGGAGATACTTCATGCATGTCTCCATTAACTTCTTCTCTAGTGATTGTACAAGACAAAGAAGAATACATATAGTATTTTGGCTCACAGACATGCTCTAGAATCTGTTATCTAAAAAGCTTGAAGAGGAGGGTAAGGCTTATTGGATTATAGGTTCCAAAGCACATTGGGGCCATCTTGGGACCTTTGAGCAATTGTTGTATACAAGTTTCATTGAGATTCACTGACAGCCTCTCTTGAGTCATACCTACATATTTTATTTTATTTGTTTTACCAGGCCATTAAGTAGATAGCTCAAACTGAGAACCAGCCCGTTAGATGTAGTAAAACCTCCTTCTTTTCCCTTCCAAAGGTCCATCTCTTTTAAATCAAGTTCCCATCACAAACAGAGGGTAACTAAAAGTAGTGGTCTTTCTGTGGATGACTCTGAGGCAAGACTGATCAGCGAGCTTCTGAAAACTTACAAATGGTATACCATTTAGCAAAGGCGTCTGAGAGCCAGGAACTATAGTGCTGTAAGTCCAGTAAGTGGTTCTTGCAATCGTCTCACTCCCAAGTTCTTACCTGCCCTCCTAGGACTTCACTGTGGGCACACCTAGCTTGTCACTGTCACAGGTTCTTGAATTTGCTCCACTGTAACAGTTTTATATTGAACACCTTAAAATAGTTGGCAATATTTCCTTGGAAGTCTTTCCCTTAGTAGTTCCTGTTATTATGTCAGTTTTGGTTTCCAACCTTGCTAGTCAATTTGCCACTGTGAGATAACACAGCATCCCTATGACTGGTGCCACCAGTGAAGAATAAACGTCTGATGAATGAATCGAACAATAAAATGAAAAGGGATGATTTTTGTATGGTTGGTTAGAAGTTAAAATGGATCTCAAGTAACTCCTCTGTAGTGATTTAGATTGTGAGCATAGTTGCTTCAGGAGATCTTGTAAAGAAATGCCCTTGTATTTTATTCTCTAATGATGCCATCATCTTGTATGAATTTTTAAGGTCCACCCTTATCTCTAGTCTTCCTTTCTCCTGATAGTGTCCCACAAGAAGAGGAGAAGTTTGTTTTCCCATGACTGTCTATGTATGGACTTAACATTGTTCACCAAAGGAGAGCATTACTGGGGAGAAGAAAAAAATCATACAAAAAGGCACCTGAGGCCTCTGTCACCTATATACCTGATCACTTTCCTACATGTTCACATTTCACTCTTGTTGTTTTGAGACTTCCTCACTCTCCTTGGGTCTTGAAGCATCTAGATGAGTGGTTCTTAACCTGTGGGTTGCAATCCCTTTAAGGGTCAAATGACCCTTTCACAGGGGTCACTTAAGACCATTGGAAAACAGATATTTACATTATTATCATAACCATAGCAAAATTGAAGTCGTGAAGTAGCAATGGAAATAATTTTATGGTTGGGGGTCACCACAACACGAGGAACTTTATGAAAGGGTCACAGCATTAGGAAGGTAGGGGACAACTGATCTGGATCCTAGGTCACAATATGGCCTATGGATTTTCTTGCCTGAAATCATTTGAGACTCTTCACCCTGAAAGGAAAATGTATTCTATTTGAAGAAATGCATTCATTGTTTTAAAAAACATAGTATGCTCTCTCTCCATCTTCCTGCTGGAAACATTGGTCTAGGTTTCTGTTTTCTTCTTCTTCTAAGCCTTGACATTGACAAGCTGTGGATGCTTCTTGAATGAGCTATCTTAAGGGTGGCTCAAATGCATGATGGTGTTACCATAAGTCTTTACTCCAAAGCCTCCCAAGCCCTGCCGCCACCTGAGTTCCACCCGCTGGCATGTTAAGGTCCCAAGCAACACACAGAGACTTACATTAGGTGCAAATGCTGCATGGCAAAAGACTAGGATTTCTCATCTGCTAGCTCAGTCTTAATTATCAACGATAACTATAAGACTTAATGGAGGACGCCAGCAGTAAGCACCCTCTCTTGTCGGCAGATCACATGGCGACTCCAGAGCAGAGAGCAGGAGCAAGAGGAAGAGCAAGAGGACGACTTCTTGTCCTTGCTTATATATGAGTCGGCCTGCTATGTCACTTTCTGCCTGTGTCACAAGATTTCTTTTTACTACATTTCCCAGAATCCCCCTCGACTCCTAGTCCTGCCTAACTTGCTGCCTCATTGGCCAAAGAGTACTTTATTCAACAATCAATAAGATAAACATACACAGAAGGACATCCCCCATCATGATGGACTTTAAATTACTTGGTTATTCTGTAAAGCTCTTTACTGAAGTCGTCTTCTGTTGTCAATTCAGGATATTACCACAAAATGCCACAGACTGGGTGACTTAAGCCACAGATGTTGGAGTAAAATTACCATACACGGGATAGGGATGATATATCTTAATTTTATTGGAGGGAAATCACTTACATGAGAAACCGATAACCCAGGGTCAGGGCTCCAAGCATCCAATCTCAGCTGCCCTCTGAGACAGGATGGGAAACCCAAGAGAGTGAGCCTGTCTTCCCCTTAGGCCTGAATCCCACATGCCCCCTATGCACTGGTGGCCACACCCAAATGGGCGTGGTCAGCACCACAGGTACCAAGTAAGATCTCTCCTTACACACAGATATTGATTTCCCATCATTTTCAAACCAAGAAGGTACAAGGACAGGTGCTAGTGCATTGAGTTCCTGGTGAGGGCCCTCTGCCTGTCTGGCAGGTAGTTGATTTCTTGCTGTGAACTCAGGTGGTTTTTTCTTGCTGCATATGTGTTCAGAGAGGGAACTCTTTCTTCCTGTAAAGGCATTGATTTCCATAGTGAAAGCTCTGCTTTCATGACCTAACTACTTTCCAAAGGTCTGTCCTCATACCATCACACTGTATGATGTGTATATTAGATTATATGTGTATATTAGATTTTAATATATGAACTGGGGAGAAGGGCATAGTCCAACCCACAGCATCCTCCATCAAAAGATAACTGCTAGTCCTTGTATTCCTGACATGGAATAAGATAAAAACAACAGTACTTTTCCTATAAATCCTTAATCTCATGTTCCTTTATGGTTAATCTAATACAGTGTTTTCTCCCAAGATTTCAACCTTTCAGTGAATAAACAGAATGTACAGTTAGCACATAAATTCATGGTCTCTAAAGTGGTGTATCAGAAGAAAGACCATAGATTCTATTTGTCCTCATCTCCATTGTATACTGCATGTTTTTGGATAAAACAGGGTTGTTGCTCATTGTGTCATACATCACAGCAGCTCTGCTCACCATCAGAAGTGCATATTCTTAGGCAGTAGACAAATTAGTTTGTAATATTTAGAATTGAGTGGGAGGCCTTACTGAATTAGCAGCATGTCTGGATTGGTAGGAATGTATTGCGCTTTGAGTTCCAGAGAGTCAAGCTAAGTATAAATTCATTGTCAGCCATTGTTACCTAAAGTATTTTAATACCACCATCCTCCTCCTTAGCAAATTTCTATCTTAGCTTGGTCTCCTGTGTTATCAAAGTGTGGGGTCTGGATAAACAAGGTTTTGCATGGAGCCCTTTAGAGTTGACTTTTCCTCATTTGTTGAAAATGTTTCAGTGTGATCTATGGATAAGGCCTTCATAGACCCCATATCTATCTTGGTTAGATCAAAGTTCCCAAACATCATTTTCCATTTCCAGAATTTCCATAGGGTCAACTCCAGCAGATCCCATGAAGAGTCCCTGGGAGTCACTAAGTGTGTTGCTTACAAACCCAGACTTGAAGTTCCTCCCTTGATGCTGAAGAGAAAACTTAAGTGGGTGGGTCTTTTCCTTGCAGGAGAATGCTGTGAATGGGGAGCACCTATGGCTGGAGACCAACGTCTCGGGCGACCTCTGCTACCTGGGGGAGGAGAACTGCCAAGTCCGATTTGCAGTGAGTATGTCCCATGATACCCTTTTAGTCTTCCCAGGAAACAGCCTCCGAGGATGATGGGGATGAGAGTCATGCCCTAACATACCAGGGTGGGTTTGGAAAGGTTCCATCCTTGTGACGTAGAACTTCCCACTTTTAAGGTTTACAGATTGTGTAGCAAGTTAAAATGGCTCCAGGTCATCAACTTTAATGACTTTAGGGTTTTATTGGGTAGGCTATCCATTAGTGTAATGTGGTGCTGACTACTGTAGTGTTGTGGGGGTATATACAGGGGGAGTCAGGAGAGGCTGAATGTGGATGACGGAATGCCAGTCACTTATGGTAGGTTGTGGATCACCTCACTGGTAGATAATTGTTTAGAATGTTATTTTTTGGTGAAGATGAAGTTTGTTTAATGGATACAGGGAACAACAAAAGTTCCTAGAATGACCCAGATGAACAGGCTGTGGATCTGAAGTTAAGAAACTTGGATTTGAGTCTCTGACCAGCAGGAGGCCTGGGTGGAGAGGAAGGGAGTGATCTCCCTGCAGGGCAGTGGCTATGGGGTAGGGGACTCTGGTGGTGAGGGTGGAAATGGCTATGTGGGATGTGAATGAGGTTAGCTTATTTCCACACTGAGATCTGGAGGACACAATTCCAGAAATGATTTGATAAATTAGCAGTCAGGTGAGTAGGAGTGGCTTTTGCTTATTAAAAATCTTTGGGACCCCATTCCCTATGGCGGGATACTCTCTCAGCCTAGATACACCAGGGTGTGTGTGTGGGGGGGGGAAGGGCCTGAGTCCTGCCCTAAATGATGTGACAGACTTTGATGATTCCCAATGGGACTTCTCACCCTCGATGGAGAGTGGATGGGTGTGGGTGGGTGGAGGGTTGGTGGGGGGAATGTGAGAACAGGAGGGAGGGAACTGGGATTGGTATGTAAAATAAGATTGTTTCTAATTTAAATAAAAACTAATTTAAAAATAAAAACAAAAAAACAATCACTTTGTGCCCCTATTTAGAATAATCTTCTTAGGGTTTAAACTTCTCTTCAGGAGCTGGGAATGGGGGTATGTGCCTATAACCACAACACTGAGGAGGAAGGTGTGGGGTGACAAATTTGAAAACAGCCCAAGTTACACAGTTACATAGTCTCATCTTTCTGTTGTGGTGACAGAACATGCTTTAGGGGGAAAGGGTTATTAAGTTTACAATTCCAGGTCACAGTCCATCACTGCGGGGGAGCCAAGGCAGGGACATCAAATGTCTAGTCACACCCACAATCAAGAGGAGAGAGAGAGAATGGACATGCATACTTACTTGTGCTTAGAGCCCTTTCTACATTTCTCCTGTCTAGGATGGCCTGCTTAGGGAGTGGTGCCACCCACAGTGGGCTGGGTCTTCCTGCCTCAATTAAAGTAATTAAGACAACCATCATAGACATGCCCACCAGCCAACCTGATGTAGACAAACCTTTATTGATGTACTCTCTTCTTGGTTGTTCTAGATTGTGCCAAGGTCAGAATTACAAGTAAACATTGAATTATAGTAAGACGGAAGATTGTAGTTCTGTAGTAGAATACTTGCTGAGCATGCGTAAGACCCTAGATTTGATTCCCCGTGCTGAAAAAACCAAATTAAACCATGAAGAAGAATCAGTGACCATACAATAAATCATGGAGAGACTGAACACTTAATGCTGAGAAAGTAGGCTTAATTTTTGCCTACATTTAAAAATGTAACCTAAAAATAGAGTAACAGAAAACTCTGAATAGTAGATAACAAAGAAAAGAAGGCTTCCTACCCACTTAAGAAAATGATGTCAAAACTTATGGAGCCTTATGGGTTTATTATTTTTTTATTATGCATGAAAATAGTTTGAGCAAAATGTAGGTCAATCAAATAATATGTGAATGTGTTTCTGTAACGAGGAAGACACTGAGCTTCTGGAAGAGCTTATAGATGAGCAAACAGCCTGAGAACTCTCCCTGGCTGCTGAAATGATCAAGTCTCAACACCAAGACCTTTTCAACACCATAGCAGTTTTGGTCACCTCACTGGTAGATAATTGTTTAGAATGTTATTTTTTAGTGAAGGTGAAGTTTGTTTAATGGATACAGGGAACAACAAAAGTTCCTAGAACAACCCAGATGAACAGGCTGTGGATCTGAAGTTAAGAAACTTGGATTTGAGTCTCTGTGTTTCCACCCACTGTGTGACTTTGAGGATTCGTGACCTTTGGGGTCATGGCTACCTTCTAGACAGAAAAAGAGAGAAGAATTAAATTGCTTTTAATTTTGTTTCTAATTTGAACCTGTAATTAATCGTTTGCATCTTTTAATCTTGTTGTGAATTCAATTGATTTAAATATCAGCATTTCAACTTTATGCATATGCAGTTTTAATTAAAGTATAATTGCATGGAGTTTGATTAAATTAACCAAATCTGTGAGAAGCCCAGCTGTTTGGACTAAAGTGCTATAAATAATGAATTAACATTAAGGTCTTAGATAATTGTGTGAACACTGGTCTTGGGGTATCAGAGAGTGTGAAATGGGAGAAATGAGGGTGGGTTTGCCATGCATATGTGCTATACGGAGGCCTCTGTCAGCAGGTGGACTGGCTCATTACCTAGCCCCGCCCCTCTCCAAATTGCTCCCCTTGCTCCTCTTCTGGGCACTCATTTTGTGACAGCTGCTTGTTACTTCTCTTGACAGATACATGAATTAATGCAGGCACCCCCTTTCCCCAGCACACTGCTAGGTAGGGCCAGCTGACCTTGAACTGACTGTAGCTAGTGCTGAGACTCTCCTGCCTCAACTGTCCTAGTGTTGCAATTACAGGTGTGCCATCACACCCAGCTCCATAATTCTCCTGCTCTGGGTCCACAGTTATCATTTGTGTCCCTCATTGTTTGGCCACTCTTACCTTTAGGTCAGAAGAAAACAAGAGAATAATGAGAATATTAGCAGGGGATCCCGGGTAGAGCTGTGAGAACTCTGTATCCTTTTACCTTCATCTTTGATTTTACTCCAGGCACTAAGCTCTTTCAACCCCATTTTAAAAAATGTCTGCAAGATGAAGAGTTATCTTCCAAGAAGATGTTGTTTAATCCAAGTCACAAATAAACGAGGAAGTGGAAAAATGCCCCAGTGTTTCCTCTTGGCAGGGCCCTTACCACTAAGTGGAGTCTCCTCCCCTGAGAAGTGGGGAAATGCTGTCTGAGAATTTGATGCGCAGGCAGGATGCACTTGGCCTAGGACTGCCGAAGTGAATTAAAGTCAGAAACAGAACAGGAACAGACAATGCGGTCTATATATGAGATGTATAAATGAAAACAACTCTGAGGAGGGAGTCAACCTAGGGCCTCTTTAATTAGCCAAGGCTTATAAAGCGATGACCCCTCCTGAGGGCTGGTTTAGGCTGAGATGGCTTGTCTCATGCTCACTTGGTAGGAATGTAAATTAATAGTCGGCTTATAACTGACAGTATATGGTAAAGGCATTCAGTGTCTCTCAGCTCTCCACAAGTTCAGATTGTGCTGTATGGCCATCTTGAATGCTGTGTTTTAGGAGATTCACTGAAAAGCAATGAAAGATCCAGAGGAGAGTGACTAAGCTGGTTTAGGATATGGAGACTTTTGGTAAAGAAAATGTTAGTAGCATGATTACAGCTGAGTATTAAGGATTTCTTAATACTCAGACCTCCTGTTATTTAAAGAGCTGCTTTGAATAAAGGGGAAGTGACTTTCCATCCTCCAGGAAGATGGAGCAGAACTCTAGATATAGACCCAGAGTCTCTAACCGTGGTCATGATCCTCCAATGGCATAAGGTCCCCCATGGGGCACTTGTGAGCAATTTTTCCCTCCATGCTCCGAGTGCTGACTCAGCTGTGTCTGGAGTTGGACTTGTAGACAAGTGATTTTAAGAAGCTCATTAGATGCTCAAGTGTGGTGGTCCACCAACCTAAGTCTAAGAGCTTCTGTAGCCCAGTGTTATCCATTAGGTACCTGGAAGAGTGGGCTCAGAAAATATGTGTAGGCATGATGTAGATGGCCATCTTGCAAGGATGCTGGAGAAAGGTGATGGGTACCTGCTTCCAGCAAGAGTTCAGACAAGGAAGATGCTCTACTTGCAACTTCCTTAGAAGTGAATAACATTTCTGTGGGAAAGCATGCACATGTAGATTATGTATTAGATTTATGCTTCCTCTCATGAGCCATCTTTGAAGAACAAAGAGCTGTTGGCATTATCGTAACCAGGTACCACTGGCTAGCTTCTAATCAAATTACAGCATTCTTGGGGAGGAAGGCAGACCTTTCCCTCCTCACCCTGTCATGTGAAGTAAAAAGGGAAGTCCATGTGGCTGGATGTAGATAGAGGCTGTTTCACAGACATGGAAGTAATGCTCATTACACGCGAGTGGGGTTGAGGAAAGAATTTTCAGTTGGAGAGAGGAACATGAGCAAACTAAGAGGCATAAGGTATCTCTGTAGAACAAGACAAGAGTCATGGTGTTTGAGTACACCAACGTGTTTATTGTCAGGAGGAACAGGAGAGATGGAAAGGACAGATGGGCTTGGGTATGTCTGCATGATTCTGAACCAAAACAGAGTGTGCTATAAAGGTCAGTGAACTCACAGAGCATGACCACATAGCATGTGGTCTAAACCAAGGCAAATTTAAAGGTGAACATGGCTGCTGATCTCAGTGGGGTACTAGAGGCCAGCGGGGCGCATGAGAGTTTTGTATCAAGGATACTGAGATGGTCACCCCAATTTACATGGACACTGGGACATCTATTTAAAACCAAAGCTGGGACTGGGAGTGTAGGTCAATTGACGCTTGCTGGCCTAGCACGCACAAAGCTCACATCCTGTCCTCAGCACTGCCAAGCTTAAATCCGGGCATAGTAGTGCAAGCATGTCATCCCAGCACTTTGTGGGTGGCAGGAGAATCAGAAATTCAAGATTGTCCTTGATGGTATAATTAGTGTGAGGCCAGCCTGGGCTCTATGTG